ACACTTGATCTTAGCCAAAAGGCCGAGAAAGGTATACTAACAAGTTCTTGTTCATAACCGGGAGCATTACCCGGCTTTGCGTACAGAGGCCTATTCTCGGCTCCAAAATACCATGCTTTCTCTCCTACCTTACGTTAAACCTTGACTTCGGTCTTTGTCCCGCATCCTCACTTCGAAACTGTAGCGCTGTATAGGGATAGATCTCAGGAACTCAGCCATGGTCCTCTCACCAGTTTCAAATTATCGGAAATTTTTGTCAAGCAATTTGCCAGTGCCCAGATATTCAAGAACCAAACTTTATTCTTAGAATGCCAATCAGCTCTGATAACTTTCCTTAATATCTGGGTCTTTATTACCAACAGGATATGCGGGAATGACCACTGGTCGCCCTGAAAAAGGGCTGCGTTCCTGGTCTGCCAGATCACCCCCATCAACTCTCCTCTGCATGTTTGTGCTACATACCCCCACCCCTTGGAATATGGTTTCTGCCTCAAGCCTTTCCCGGTGAAGATCCAGGTGTCCGTCCACTCCACTACTTGGGGAGTAATGTCTGGCGTGAAGGCCTGCCAATGACGCCGCCACCACTGCCACAGTCGTATTGACACCGGACAGTGAATCCATAGGTATGCTGTCGTTTCCCATGCCCACTTGCAACGCGAGGCTCAGCAGGTTTGGACAATATTCAGCCCCTTTGCAGATAACCATGCGGCTGAGGCCACAACCTGGAGGGATTGCAGCGAGAGCAGGGCAGCTGTCTTCTGGTTGGTCATCTTCTTCAGTTGAGTCCACAAGCATTGTAGGTCCCGCCCCGTCATCAGACTTGGACAGTAGTCATCCCATCTGCTGCGAGCCATCACTGTTGGGTATTTCACTACTCTGGATCTCTGTATCTCTCGGCGGATTTTTGTTGAGTATTGTATCAGTGGGAGCAGCTCTTTCTGCTGACTCTTCAGTTTCCACCCATAATTAAATGGTTGTATTTTATACAGGGCACTGGGCAGCAGAAACTCCTCCCACGCATTGCTCCACCCCTCTGCTGTCTTTGGTAAGCCAGACCCTCACTTCATCTAAATCTCCGCTCAAGACCTCCGTTCTCTCATCTGTCAATGTAGCGGTACCCCTACGGCCCGGCAGTGAGGCCGGACCAGTTTCAGGCCGTCGGCCTGACCCTGGTCTGGTACCAGTTTGTTCCGTACCTGGACCTAGGCCGGTATATCACTTCGGCCTAGGCCCAGGGCGGGAGGTTGGTTCATTCAGTTGTTCATTCGTTCTTCCATTGAGCCGGACCGGACCTTCACTCTGCTGCTGCTTCGT